CCGGGGATGGCAGCGCAGCCCCTCAGGAGCTCAACAACAGCCGGCCGGCCCGCCAGGTGCGCCGCCTGGAGTTCAACCAGGCCATGGACGACTTCAAGACCATGTTCCCCAACATGGACTACGACATCATTGAGTGCGTGCTGCGGGCCAACAGCGGTGCGGTGGACGCCACCATCGACCAGCTCTTGCAGATGAACCTGGAGGCCGGTGGTGGCAGCACCTATGAAGACAGCTCGGACTCGGAGGACAGCATCCCGCCAGAGGTAGAGTCAGGGTCGGGCAATCCACCTTCGGTCGTGGTCCAGTCTCTCTTAGCGGCTCTGGGTTGCCCCCCACTTCCACCCCTTCCCCGCCCTGCGGGGTGGCTGGCTTCTAACCAGGTATCTCTCTTTTCCTTTGAGAAACTTTTGATCAGGCAGTGACCTATATTATGGATAGCAATCATGCAGTCATTCAACAAACACCCAGCAAAGCAAGCACCCACTCATTGGTATGCTAGGGATAGGACAAGACCCCGGACTAAGTAAGGTACTTGTTTAAAATGTAGGTGCCTAGGCCCCACTCCAACATCTGACCCCTCAGTTTCAAGACTGAAGTCTCTGGCATATATTTTTCAAGAAAGGCTCTTGGACCGCAGAGTATCTCCTTAGCCAGTGCAATCAGACGATGTCTGTGGCGCTCACAGGCTAGTGTGGGTTGGAGGCCGGAGTTGAACCCGAGTGGGAGAGCCGTGAGCAGGGGAGAGACTCATGCCAAGAAGGCGAACTGGCCCCAGGACCAGAGAGGGTGAGAGACCAGTCAGGCTGGCCATACCCTCCTCGCAGAAGAGTGGGGAGACCCCTACAGACAGGGAGCTGGAGATGAATGCAGAGTGGGGGGACCTGGGAGGAGTATTTCAGCTCCAGCCCTCAGGTCCACATAAGCAGAGAGCCATTCCCAGGGTGGAGGGCACGGCCAGCCACAGAGAATCAAGGCCCGCCGGTGGGGGTGGCTGGTTTTCTACGGCCCCTTTCAGGAGTTCTGTGCCCAGCCAACCCCCAGCCTAAAAGGGCATGCAGTTCTCAGGCTGAGGTGAGGCATGCAGTTAGTATAAGAGCCATGCATGAGACAAGGACCGGAAGATAAGAAGGAACTGCACTCTGTTCTTCCAGTACTGAGGGCCGAACCCAGGGCCTCTACATGCCATAGGGGCACTCTGTCACAGAGTCACACCCCGGCCCCGAACCCAGGGCCTCTACATGCCATAGGGGCACTCTGTCACCAAGCCACACCCTGGCCCCAAACCCAGGGCCTCTACATGCCATAGGGGCACCCTGTCACCAAGCCACACCCCAGCCCCGAACCCAGGGCCTCTACATGCCACAGGGGCACTCTGTCACCCAGCCACACCCGGCCCTCTTTTTACATAGGATCTCCCTGTGCAGCCCAAGTGAGTCTTGTACTTACTCTAGTCCAGGCAGACCTTGAACTTTCCATCCTCCTGCCTCGACTTCTCCAGGAGCTGGGGTGACAAGCATGCTCCACCAGGCCCAGCTGAACTCCACTCTTTCCAGAATCCGGACGGTGCTGGGTATCTCAGTTGCTTCAGAAATCCGTCTATTCTGTTTCTCAAACTTGATGAGAACAGTCACCCTTGTTTACATGAGAACTCTGGACCAGATTTGACCTCAGGGCCTGGCCGGCCTTCTTCCTCCCCCTCCTTCCCTGCCTTCCTTAGTGAGTGCTTCTAGGATTCTTGCTCCAGGGAGGAGAAGCCTGAGGATAACAATGACTTGTGCTGGTGTGACGTGTTTCCCCAGGCATATAGGGGAAGGTTTGCAGTGAGTAGATGTTACTCATGTGTGTGTATACATGAGTGTGTGAGTGTGTGTGTGTGGGTGTACACACTTGTACATGGGTGTACATGTTTGTGTGTAAGCCAGAGATCAATTTGGGGTGTTATTCCTTAGGAACCAGCTACCTTATTTTTGGGGGGACAGAGTCTCCCTCTAATTAGGCAAGGCTGGCTGGCTAGGGAGCTCCAGGGATAACGACCACTGTCCCCACACCCCCTGCACCGGCATTGCTTGTGTGGGCCACCAGCCCCGCTTCTTACCCAGGTGCTGTGTGTTGAACTCGGGTCCTCAAGCTCGCGTGGCAAGCGCTTTGCCGACTGAGCCGTCCCCGGCCCTGTGGATGCCTGCTGTCTTTGCACAGCTCCCCACCGTCCCCTTTTCCTCTCTCACACACCCCTTTGACCTGCTGGATCAGTCAGTGGAGAGGACGCTGGAAAACCCAGACCCTTCCTGTTAAAAGGAGGTGTGAGTGTGTGTGTGCATGTGTGCACGTGTAGGTGCATTCTTTCAGTGTGAGCTGGAAGTTCCCTGCATGCTTTGACTGTCTATGGTCCTGTTGGGTCTGACGGTCTGGCAGGCTTCGGGGCGTTTCCTGCTCCCCCCCCCCCCCCCCCCGCGGTGCCCATGGCATCACAAGCCTCTGCAGGGCGTCCTCAGCCCCAGGCATCCCCCCTGGACTGCACTCCTGTTTGCACGCAGTCCCGGTGGAACCCCTTCTCAGCTCTCCTTGGCTCCCCCCAGCCCCCACCTTTGGAGCCCTGCCTGGGCCCATCAGCAGGCAGCCCCGGAAGCAGCGCGAAGTGCCGCAGGAAATTTATGAACAGCAGTAAGAATGACTGTACCTGCTGACTGGGAAAGGCCCCCTCTCTAGAGGCTGATGGATGGTGGGCTGGCCCACGGGGTATTCCTGTCACAGAGAAACAGCTCCTGTCAGATGAACGGCCCAGACCCTGCCTCCCTCCCAGCCTCCGGAACACCTGGCAGGCGTTCATCACCCACAGTGAGTTAGAGGCCCGGAGGCCACAGAACCTCCAGCACCCTTAGAGGCAGAACAAGCTCCTTGTAGCTGGAAAGATGGAGCCGGGGTGGGGGTGGGGCAGGAAGATGCTGGGGCTCCCTCTCTGGGACTACAGATCTTCCTTTCTAGAGCTGGCCTGCCCACCCCCTGCCTCCTCCCCACTGTTCCTCTCTAGAGGCTGCTGCTCTCTAGTTTGCTGCTCCGGGAAGCTGCACTGTAGTCTACAAGGGCCTGCCCGCATCTCTGTGCTCCTTGAGTCTGGGCGCATGCCACAGATCAGAGGAAACCCATGGGACTCTCCTCTTCCCTGCACCCAACCAAGCTTATCCTGGACCCTGTCTGTCCCTCAGAGCCAAGGGCTGTGGGAATTGGGAGTATGCAGGCTGGGGGAGGCAGCAGCGAGTCTTCGGGGCACCCTAGGATCTTGCTGAGCATCTCCTGCGCTAGGCAACAGGGAGTCCCCAGGGACCAGGACCCCTTCTTTGCCCCATCCCCTTTCCCTGGCGTCTCTCTCTCTTTCCTGGTGGAATGTGGGGTGAGCAGTACAGTGGTCTGGCCAGCCAGGCCGCCTCATTCTTCTTTTTCTGCAGAAGCATCTGTTTAAATACTTTCCGCCTCACAGGAAAGAACACGCATTCCAGGGCGGGGGCCTCCTTGGGTCAGGCTGGCGTGGTGCGCATGCTCACTGCCAAGGGCATCCCTGCCAGCGCCCTGTGCTGGGCCCGGCTGGCCAGGGGCTCAGGTGTGTCGGTGGAACCTGGACTGACAGGCGCACGAGGCCCAGTGTTAGGGTTGACATCTGTAAACTCAGAGTTCAAGTGGGGCTGGGGGAGTCGGGGGCTGAGGCAGTTAGGGCCTCTGAGCCCTTCCCAGGTTCTTCGGTCTCTGAGAAAGTGGGAACAGAGCTGTGAGGACAGGGTGGGGCGAGGTGTGTGACAGGGATCTGCCCAGATGCCTCTGGGGGCAGATTCATATCCACCGATAATAGGAACTCAGCCTTCGCCCTACCCTGGACCTTTCTCTGCCCTGCTTCCTGCCTCCTGCTGAAGAGAAAGGTCTAGAGGGACAGTGGGCATCTCACCTGGGTGTGCAGGTTTGCCTGAGGGAAGGCCATGACTGTGGAGATCATGGTCCGTGCTGAAGATTCCAATCTAAAACCAGCGAGTGGTTTTGCCTTGTTACTTAACCAGACGCTGCCTCCCGGGGCCTGTAATCTGAGCCGCTCAGCAGGCTGGGGCAGGAGGATCAGAAGTGTTGTGGACTGCTGTCCTCTGAGGTGACATGGCCGTTAGCATCTCAGAGCAGCTCACACCAGCCCTTCAGCAAGCTTGGGCCTGTTCCCTCACAGCAGGCAGCGAGGGTCATTAGGGAACATCCTCTGCGGTGTTGGCCACTCCCTCCCACACCAGCTGTATGCACTTCTGCTCCAGCTCAGGTGGACGGAGATGCTGGAATACACAAGAGGGTAACCAGAATCAGGGACTTTCAGGAGGTTGTTGCCCACGCTGGGCTGGGCCTTTTGGTGATCCAACTGGTGGGGGTGGGGGTGGGGTGTCACTCCCTCTAAGTAACTTCTAGGGTGAGATCACTTCTTTGGTCTGTTGTTGGTGTCCTCTCTTGTTCACATCCCCCCAGGAGAAGTAATGAAACAGATTCGAGGCCAGCCAGGGCAACTTAGCGAGACCCTATTTCAAAATTCTAGGTAAAAAGAGTTGGGCTGGTGGCTGGAGAGGTGGCTCAGCGGTTAAGGGCACTGACTGCGTTCCTAAAGGACCCAGGTTCAAATCCCAGCACCCACATGGTAGCTCACAACTGTCTGTAACTCCAAGATCTGACCCTGTCTTACCTGCAAGCAAAACACCAATGCACATAAAATAAAAGTAAATAAATTAAAAAAAAAAATTGGGTTGTAGCTCAGTGGTAGAGCTACATTTGCCCCACATGTGTGAGGCTCTGGGTTCAATCCCAGGAACCACAAAGCAAATAAAACACACTCAGGCCTGGATTTCCTCATGCGTAAAATGGGATTTCACTTGCCAGACTGGAAGGGCTAAGATAACAGAGAGGGAAATACACAGAGGGAGGGTATGGGTGATGTCATCATCAGAGAAGAGCACAGGCATACAGAGGACCCTGGTCTCGAGTGTGCAGCCCACGTGATAGGCACCAAGCTTGAGAAACCTCCCACGGCCCGGAGTCCGCAGCCTCCCGCTCACTGTCTCTTTCCTCCACCCTGTGTTCACTTGGCTGCACTGGAGCATTGCCTGGGTAGATGCTGCCGCCGTGAACAGTCCTTTGGGGCCGTGTGTTGACCTCTTTGCTGAGTATAATTGAGGGGTCATGGGGGCCACATGTTAGTGTTAGTGCACGAGGCTGGCTTTGCCAAGGAGCGGCTTCCAGAGCAACGCACACCACTCTCTAAGACAGGTCCTCGCCCGTACCGATCTCATCTGAATGCCACTGAGCTTCAAGGATGGATTCCTAATATCGTCAATAAGTATTGCTCTGTATCTCTTTGTCGTCTCTGATTCAGATCTTGGAAAGGACACTGGAGCCGGATAGCTCTGAAGAAGAACCTCCGCCTGTATACTCACCGCCAGCTTACCACATGCACGTGTTCGACAGGCCTTACCCGATGGCTCCCCCAACGCCACCTCCCCGGTGAGAATCCACTTTGTCTCAGGGACAGTAGGGAGAGATGGAGACAGGAGTTGGGTGTGAATAAAACACAGTGGGAAATTGGCTTCTCCCGCAAAAGGTGATTCTGCCAACTGCCAGCTTCTACTGTGACAAGGTACATTTTTTTCCAGACACCAAGGAGAACTCTCAGAACTTCAGCACTGTGGGGCTGGGGAAATGGCTTAGGCAGAGTGCTTGTTGGGCAGGCACAGAAGCCTGGGTTCGAATCCCTAGCCCTCTGCATATAAAAGTTGAGCGTAGCAGCACACATCTGTAACACCAAAGCTGGAGTGGCGGAGACAGGCAGATCCCTGGAGTTCAGGGGCCAGCTGATTTAGCCTACCAGTAGGTTCCGGGTTCAGTGAGAAACCATCCCCAAAATAAAGTGTAGGGACATGGCTGTCGTCAAGTACCCACCTGCAGAGCAAGCACGGGGACCTGAGTATGGATTCCACATAAGAAGCTGGACATAGCAGCACCTGCCTGTGGGACACAGTTAATTAAATGTGGTACAGCCTCCAGCTTCTTGGAACGTGTCATCAAGGGAGAGGCAGAGTAGGAAGCTGAGCTCATGAAATATGGTACTGGCCCTTCCCTTCCCCAGCCCATGGACACGTTAGAAATTAATCATCGTGCCGTCTCTTGCTGAGGCAAGATGAACCCCAGGATCCCTCTCAGCCCAGCACCCCCAGGTAGCCATCGGTCACCAGTGGATGACTCTGTCTCCCCTGGGCTAGTGATGTGGAGAGGATTTTTAAGCAGTGTGAAGATGTGTCTTTTTCTGGGCTAGTTTGATGATTGGAGACAGGAGAGGGGACAGCAAGGTCCCCAGAGACTTGTTTCAGCTCTGAGCCTCTTGTTACTGGAAGCTTGAAAAGCGGCCGCCAGCAGTGTCCACTGGACATGAGGTGCTTGCTTTTCTGGGCGCTGTGTTCGGTGGCTGCCGGAGCCTAGGTGTGGTCACTTTGTCCTTAGAGTGACAGACTGAGTGGGAGGGAGTGACACAATGGGAGCCTGCTGTACTGATCCCCCCATTCTAGGCATCTTAGGAACCCCAGAACATTGATAGTGGGGAACTTGGAGAGCTAGTAAGAATAGCTGCCATTTGCCAAGTACCCTTCCAATGACAGGTGCTGCCATGGTTCTCCACGCAGTGACTTATGTGGTCAGCACTGCTGTTACCCATTTCACAGATGAATATGCTGAGCCTCAGAGAGGTCCCCTGCTGTCCCCAAGGCTAAGAGCTGGGGTGTGTGAACCCAGGTCATCTATCTGACCTCCAGGCTATCACTCTTCATCGCCGTCACCCCCCTGCTGAGAAATCAGGCTGTAGCTTAGGGAGCTGAGAGTCTGGAAGGTGAGCTGGGGAGGACAGAGGTCATCCGTCCATCAAGTCAGGGACAGCAGAGAGCTGGAACCTCACAGTGGCGCAGGGGATGCAGGCTGGGAGGTGGGAGTTGGATGCCTGGGTGAGGCTGAGCCGGAGGTCACAACTCTGGCGGCCTACGGAGCTCAGGGGTAAATGACTTTCCTTTGTTGTTTTTGTGACAAAACTCTTGAAGGAAGGGAGTCGAGAGAGGAGAGATCGATTCTGGCTCGTGGTTTGAGAGGGATTTTAGCCCGTTACGGCAGGGAAGGTGTGGTAGAGCCACCCTGTCAGCAAGAGGGCAGGGCGGTGAGTCTTCGCATCACCATGCAATAGGAAGCAGAGAGATTGGTCCAGAGCCAGAGGCAGGTATGATCTTCCGAGCCTGCTCCTAGTGACCTACTTCCGCCATCTAGATCCCACCTGCAAAGTCCATAACTTCCCAAAGCAGCGCCACCAGCTGGAGAGGGGGTGTTCAGACATACAGCCTGTGGGGGACATGACAGACCCAAGCCATAGCATTTATTCCAAAGGACTTAAATACTTTCAATTACATTTATTTATTTATTTATGCGTGCGTGCGTGCGTGCGTGTGTGTGTGTGTGTTTGTATGGGGTGTGTGTGTGGTGTGTGCATGTACACACACACATGCACACTGCTTGTCCCCTGGACCCCTCCCCTTTAGATCAGAATTTAGGGGAGCTACACACAGGGGGGCCCAGAAAGCTGCTGTCCAAGACGTGGCCTTAAGTCCACACATCTTAGCATTAGGCTAGTGAAACTGAGAACAGGAATAGTTCCAGGCAGAGGAAATGGCATGCGAAAAGGCCTGGAAGTGGGGAGAGGGGACCATCCTGGGGAAGCTCCTGAAAGTGTAGAGCATCAGAGTGAGTGGAGCGGCACACAGGTCGTGGGCTCTGTGGAACTTCCAAGAGCACACACCTTACCCGCGACTGCAGGAGACTGAGGCTGTATACAGCAGGGTGCGGGTAGGCTGGTATGCTAATAATCTTTGGCTGCTGAGGGTTAGATTTGAGAGGGGGTACTGGTCTGGTCCCTTTCTGTCACTATGTCTCTGAGATGAGCCTGTGATAGGGCAGTTTCAGAGCTCAGATACTGTCTTAATGGGTCCAAAGAGACAGGACCATCCCAGAGAAACAAACCTGGAGTGCTAGGATCCTTTGCCCAGGTTTTGCCTGAATGACCCAGTCATGTGACTTGTAACGGGGTCTGGCACACATGGATGGCATGTCCAGACTCCACTTAAATCCCCTTCTGGAGCCTGGCGGTGGTGGCACACACCTTTAATCCCAGCACTTGGGAGGCAGAGGCAAGCGGATCTCTGTGAGTTCGAGGCCAGCCTGGTCTACAGAGCGAGTTTCAGGACAGCCAGGGCTACACAGACAAACCCTGTCTCAAAAAACAAACCACCACCAACAAAAAAAAAACCTTCTGGAAAGGTTCATCTCTGAAATCCTTCCCAACCAGGTCCAACATCCTGTGGATAAGTGTCGGGGAGTCCCCCCACCGTACTTGAAATTCTTTTTGGGGGCTCCAGGGGCTCAGTACCTGAAGATCTTCTTGGCCTCTGTCTCCTTCCCCCATTCCTTTTCTTCATCTGTCCGAGTCCCCAGGAGACCCCTCCGCACAGGCCGCCTGCTGTTTTTGTTTTGAAATTGCAGCCTTGGAAGTTTTGCCTCAAAGCTCATTTCTGACATTCCTTTCCAACCACAACGGAGTTGCCGGGCTGCCTCGGCTGGGCCAGCCCCCCTGCAGCTGAGGGTGACTTCATCCCAGGGCTTGGCGAAGGCTAAGCAGGTCCTCTCTCCAGGACCCCTGCCCAGAAGCCAGGGAAGCCTCAGGAGAAAAGGAGGTCTCCCCATGTCAGCTCCCACCCCATGGGCATCCCAGAAACACAATGGCCGGAGGGTCTCGGTCAGAGTTTGGACTCTCCCTCTGCAGCCATCATGGATGGCTTCCAGGTGTGACTGAGTTGGGGTGTCGACCGCACCCCAGATGAAGCCTAGATAAGCCTTCTCCCATTATGGCTGGAACTGGTGTCTGTGGGGCGGACAGGAAAACAGAACTTGGGACAGGGACGTAAGTGGCAGAGCATTGTGGAGGAAACCTGGCCTAGGAATGTGTGTCCTGGGTTCCCCTGCAGGCGCCTCGCTGGGGATCCCTGTATGTCTCCAGGCTGCGAATCGAGCTCCCCCTAGCTCTCGGCAGCTGGTTATTCGTCTGCTGCTGCCCCCGCCCTCCCCTCGTACCCACCAGGCCACCAGCCCAAAATAGAAAAGGAAAGGAAGTTATTTCCACAAGTTAGCAGCAGACGGAAAAGCCCCCCTCCAGTGAGGGGGCGGAGGGATTCCTGAAGCTGGAGGCCAAATCAAAGCCAGGCTGAGCCCAGCATGGCCCCCACCACCCTGGGCCGCCTGCCTTCTCCATGTGTCATTTCCCTGATTCAGCAGGACACGTGTCCTGCGGCTGCCACGCAGCAGGCTGCCGAGGAGCGGTGGAGCTGCTGGCCCAGCTCCAGGCTTCCTTCAGGCCTGGGCTTAGAGATGGAGCCCTGGGGTCAGGGCAGGCAGGCCCTTCTTCCTCTCCTGTCCTGGCCACCTGGCACAGGCACACCTTGCCTGAGAAGAGTCCCCATAGACCCCTGAGAAACAAGACTCTAACCCTGGCTTCTGGCAGTTCAGACTACAGCTCCTGGGGGGGCGGGGGGGGGGGGACAGCCAATACCTTGGAAGGAGGTCAGCAGGGTCTTCCCAATGGTCCCCACCCTTTGCTGGTTGTAGTTGAGCCAGAACGGGAACTCAGGTCTGCTTTATTGTCCAGGAATCATGGGAGCTCCCTTTCCCAACAAACCAAGGACAGGATGGGCTGTTGGCCAGCCACTTGTCTGCTGTTGGGTGGGGTGGGGGTGGGGTGGATATCTGCTACCTGACAGTCCAGCACTGAACCAGCTGCTAGGGATATAAGCAAGCTCAGAAGCATATGACCCACCCCCACCCCCAGTCTGTAGGGCACACTCATAAAATCTGTATCTAAATCCACAACATGGACATTTGCACCAGAGGTACTGAGTGACAGGAAAGCAGCCCAAGGCCAAGGCCAAGGCTGAGGAGTTGGAAAGCAGAGCTGACTGAGGAGAGGAAGAGGTCCCCAGTGCTCCGGGCCTGGCTGCCTGCCTGCTTGGTGTGCCATTCCCCCCATTCAACGGAGTACACACCAGTACCTTTGTCCTGAAGGCAGTCGGGGCATGGGATGCTCTGAGTAAGGCCTCCATCTCCCTGAGGACCCGTGACAGGCCAACAGAGCTGTGGCTAGGCCTGACTGCTGCCCCCTGCTCCCCTTCTCTCCCATCCCCTAGGATTGATGTCCTGGGCTCTGGACAACCTGCGAGCCAGAGTCGCTACAGAAACTGGAACCCACCGCTGCTCGGTAACCTTCCTGATGACTTCCTCCGAATCCTGCCCCAGCAGATGGACAGCATTCAGGTAACCAGCGGCCCTCAGACCTGCCTGCCTGCCTGCCTGTCCAGCGTCTCATCTGGGCTCTGCACCCAGTGCCAGCCAGGTTTGCTTCCTGGTTTCCAAGGCCAGGCTGAGCTGCTTCTGTTGAATAGAGTTTATAAGGAAAGAGAGATGAACCCATGGCCTTGCTTCTCGACCGGGCCCATGGTTCCCGTTGGGCCCAGGGAAGGTGGCGCCTGGGGAGGATCTCTGGCTGCAGCCATCACCTCAGGCTGGAGGGAGGGAAATGGGGCAACTCATAGTGGGGTCCAGGGCTGCTCCTTCCTCTCCTGGGAAGCTTCTTTCACATGGTGGTGTACTCCAAGGTGGCCCTGCTGGTGGGGCCCGCAGCTGCTGAAGGCAGAAGGCGGTGTGGGACTGGGAGTCCATGGACAGGTGGCTGAGCTGTTTGTAAATCGCTTCCGGGACGATTTAGGTTCCAGAAGAGGGAGTGAGGTGGCCCTAGGTTGGGAGGAAAAGTCCTTTTGATGTCATCCCTGCTTTTGCTACAGAGTTCTGAGTTGTTGCAGTCAATTTTGGCCAATGACTGGGTCCTGTTGGGAGGAGGGGACTACAGGGAGGGGGCTGGAGGATTCTGGGAAAGCACACACGCATAGACTGGTATACATGGATTTAAGTTGGTGATCTGTATGCTCACTCTTCCTCAGAGTCACCCTGGGAGGAGCTCCAAGCCTAGGGGTGGAGAGGGAGGACCACCTCCAGGGCCAGGACCTGCGGCCTGTGACCAGGACAGCCGCTGGAAACAGTACCTGGAGGACGAGAGAATTGCCCTCTTCCTGCAGAACGAGGAGTTCATGAAGGAGCTGCAGCGTAACCGTGACTTCCTTCTTGCCCTGGAGAGAGGTGGGCACCCAGCCTCACCACCAAAGAAGACAATGATATGGGCAGTGGCCTCGGGCCCAGGAGGGGGCTATGTTGGGGGCCAACTTGCTGGGCATTTTCTAACCTACATAAGCATAGCCTTCCCTGGGTTGTGCAGGAGCCCCAGGATTCAGCCAGTAGGGGTTTGGGAACACCTGGGAACTCAGAGGGAGAGGGATGTGACCACTGGGGCCTTCTCCTCTGCCCTGCATTGGCTTTGGCTTGGATGCCAGGAAGGAATGCTGTCTTTCCCACTAACCTCTATCCACAGGATGGAAGTACCATGTCTTGAGCCCTAGGGAACAGGGTTAACTGGCTCCTCCTCTAGAATGGGAGGCTTCCTGGATGGAAGAGGTTAGAGCAGGGTATTTGCATGGTCTGTGGATGGGTTACCCTGCTCCCAGTCTGGCTACCTTTCCTTTTGAGGTAGGATTTGGAGACAAGGCTGCAGAGGTGGTCTTGTAAAGGTCACAGAGGGAAGGAGGGAGGAAGAGAGGGAGTCTGATGTGTTCGGGGAGGACAGAGCAAATTGTACTGCCAGGGTATTGGGCTGGAGGGAGCGGACCCACAGGCGGCACAAAGGAGTCTTGGCTGGGCATCCAACCTACAGCCCCAGCACTGAGGAGGCTGAGGCAGGAGAACCATGGCTTCCAAGAGAGCCTAGGCTCCGTATCAAACCCGTAAAATAATAGGACAAAATAGGTTTGGACTCTGGGGAAAGCTGCTGGTTCTCACATCCCAACATTGCGGATGCTTTTAGGCAATCGTTTCTATTATCACAAGTTCTTCAAGAGCTGGTAGACACCATGCCTGCCTACTCTCTCTCTCTCTCTCTCTGTCTGTGTGTGTGTGTGTGTGTGTGTGTGTGTGTGTGTGTGTGTGTGTGTGTGTGTGTGTACTTATGTGTGTTTCAGGGGGTTCAGCCTCCAGCAGCCTCTGTGTGCCCACCCCGGGTGCCCTGAATCTCACTTCTCTGATAGAAACCTTCTCCTTTTCCAGACCGATTGAAGTATGAATCCCAGAAATCCAAATCCAGCAATGTGGCTGTCGGAAACGACTTTGGCCTCCCCTCCTCTGTCCCAGGTAAGCTTGCTCTCCTGAGAGAGGACCTGATGGGCTCAGTGGGCCCACACCCCAACTTTACCTTCAATTTTGAGAGTTTGGGGGTAGGATGAGGAAACCGACCAAGGGTGAGATCTGAGACCCCTCAGCGGCCTAGAAGGGAGGCCTTCTGTGGGGTGAGATATCCATTCAGTGAGTGGCCCTCGACTCTTGCGGTCCTGGGAGCTGGAAGTTACCACAGGCTGGCTGACCTCCCAACTCTTTCTGGATCTTGGCCTAGCAGAGGACACACTGAACCATGTAATGTCCCTTAATAGCAACTGGGAGTAGAAAGGCCTCAGAGTCTGGTGAGGCTTGGCCTAATGAGGCTTAATGCCTAATAGCAAACCAGCAAAGGTGAGACCCACAGGTTGACTGTATCCAGGGCGTGGAGAGGGTGAAATTAATCTGGGAAGGGCTCATTCATTCGCTTAAGTAGCTGAGGACTACCCGCTCAGAGCCACGCCCTCCCGTAGGTGAGGAAAATAAATTCTGAGCCTTGAATTCTAGGTGGTTCAGCACGGCCTCAGGAGGGCCAGAGAAGCCCAGGCAGTTTACAGTCCCTAATATAACTGCTCCCGCCCCAACTCATTTCAAACTACTGCATGCCTTCCCCTCCAGTGAGTGCCCCAGCAGCATGGAGGCTGCAAGGCCAGAGGGTGAGGGACAGCGTTTTAAGGACTCACAGACTACAGGGGAGCTGAGGCTGGCAGTGTGAACAGAGATCCTGCTTCCACACCTGGCCCCTGGACTCTGGATCCCTGGCCAGTTACTGCCCTCACCCCATGTACATATCCAAAAAGGCTCAGCAGTTTTTTCCAGGAGCAGAACCGCCATCCTAGAGCTGAGCCGGCCAGGAAGGCAGGAGCAGAAGGGTCAGGCGCCCCGCTAATCCCAGCTCAGAGAGAGAAAATCCTGCAGAACTGATTCCTAAGCAAGAGGCCAGGAGCTTAGGCCCCCAGCAGATGTTCATCTGGGAGTTTTCATGGAGCTTCTTGTCCTTGATCCCAAATTACTAAGGGACACCGGGGCTGCTGAGCTGGATCAGAGTGACTGGAAGGGAACCTAGCAGGCAAGGTGACTCAGGACCAGCCAAGTTAGAGCATGGTGAGCGGCGGATGGAGGGCAGTGAGACACACTGTGAGGAGTGGGTTAGGAGACTCCCTCCAGGTGGCTCACCGAGTTCTGACTCTTGGCTGAGCCCTGCTCTTATTCCTGTTCAACTTCTGGGAGGGAATAACGGAGGGGCTGAACCCAGAAGGAGGACAAGATCTCCCCGGCATTCTTGCCTCTGTGTCCTTTCTGCCTCAGTTCACTGGAGGTAGGATGCACGGAGGGCCGTGATGTGTTGGCAAATGGCTAACACTCTGCTCTGTTCTGGGTGCAGAAGCCTGGCTTGCCATCCCTTGGGGTTTTCATCACATAACTCTTCCCCATCCAACTCATTTCAAACTACCATCGTGGCTCTGAGGATACAGGATTGTTCACAGAAACCCTGTGCCAGCCAGCTTCCCACACTCGCAGCCACTCTTAAGACTGCCCCCACTGGCTCAGAAGAGGAAAATGCATCTTGCAAGAAGAAAGTACTCTTGCAACTTGCTTTACACTCCCGTGGTTAGGGGAGAAGCCCGAACTTCCGCTGTAACGAAAGGACAGACCTAAACAGCCATGGAGCGGCACCATCTCGTTTACTTTCCCGGGGCCCTGGCGGCTGCTCGGTCTCTCTCTTAGTGGGACCTCAGAGACCCAATGGGCCTGGTCCCTCAGCAGGTGTCTCCTCCTTCCAGGAACCAGTGACACCAACCCCACTGTGTCAGAAGATGCCTTATTCAGGGACAAGTTGAAACACATGGGAAAATGTGAGTCCTGCGCCTGTCCCCTCCCTGTCCCAGCTCTCTTGAGGCAGGCCCCGGGGCCTCATGAGAAGGAAGGAGCCCCCACCCGTGAGGATTTTTAATGCTATTGACTCTTGGTGAACTCAGGTGACATTTTAATCACAGGCTAGCTCAATCGGCCTTCCTACCTTACTTGATTCTGCAGCTGAGTCTGGAGACAAATTAAGTTTAAATCCTCTTGAGCCAGCTGTCTGCAGAAAAGTAATGCATGCCAGTGTTCACGTTCTCTGTGGTGTGAGGGCTCAGCCGAGACAGGAGGCACAGGCTGAGTCTGCTTTCTGTGGGGATGGGAGGCATTTGGGGGTAGGGGACAGGGGACCTCTTCATATCATCCTGCCCTTTCCAATCTCACAGACTCATAACCAGTGGGAATGAGGCTGGGATACTTTCAAGGTTTTATTTCAGGGAAAATTTCCGATGAGTCATGGAAATCTAGGACCAACTGTGGAGGTGGCTGGGGAGGGCGGGAAGACGGCCTTGGCAGCCGGCAGGAAAGAAAGCCAAGATCTGTGGCTCTCGCCTCTCGGGAAGGAATACCCGGATCTTGGACGGGAGGCAGGCTGCGTACTTGGCTAGCGGTGGCCTGTACTGCCCCTGGAGGCCGACCCGGGATGGCACACTTGCTCCCTAGGTGGCACTGGTATCCGCAGTTCCTGTCACTTTCCTCTTCCCGGTCCCCACCCCAGGGGCCTGGTGCTGCCCTGGCTGCCCCCAAACCTGGAGGGAAGCCATCTGATGCTCTGGCTGTCTGGAGCGTGAAGGGCTCATTAGTCTCTCTGCCCTAGCCACGCGTAGGAAGCTGTTTGAACTCGCCCGAGCCTTCTCTGAGAAGACCAAAATGAGGAAGTCAAAGAGGAGACACTTGCCGAAGCTTCAGTCGTATCCTTCTGCTTGGCGCTGGGTTTGGGGGTGGGCGTTAGGAACGGTGATGGAGATCCCGGCTGGAGCCCCTGAAACTGGACCTTCCTCAGCAGTGGGATCTGGCTCTGTGGCTTCCCTTCCTTGCTTCGCAAACCAGGACACCTGTCATCAGTTCCTTGGACACCGTCCTTCTTATGCTTCCTGTGACTTCTTTGCTTTTGACCTTGAGCCATCTGCATTTTGGGAGAAAACACGTGGTCCCCCCCATTGAAACCAGCAAATCTTTCCCTAAGTTTGCTAGGTGAACTGGTTCCCAGGTCCCCTGCAGCCTTGCCTCTGGAGGCCTGCTTTCTCGCTTTTGGTTCTTCAAGTGAAAAGATGTTTCCCTGTCTTCGTACCCCCAAGCTCCCGTCCATGCCTGGCCAACGGGGCCAGGATACTGAAAGCTGAATAGCCAACGGGGAACAGGGAGAAAGTCACTTCTCTGTCCCTAGAGATGGAGGCAGAGTAGGGGGGGTGGTTAGGGCCTGGCTAGCTGCTGGGTTGATCCCAGGGGAGGGACCTGGGGGGGCAGTGTTAGGCAGTTAGAGAACAGGGGGGATGATAGAGGTTGGGGGGTTGGCAGGACAGAGCACAGGCAGACTGGATAAGCCGTGACAGTTCCCGTTCGTCTCTGGGATAGTTTTCCTGAGCAGGCTGGCAGGCTGGGAGCTGCTGCATCCACAGCCAACCTCCTGGATGATGTGGAGGGTCATGCTTATGGTGAGGCAGGGCGGGGGACGTGGCGCTCCAACTGGCTGGTGATGGGTGACCCTTCAAGAGGAGGTCCTTAGTGCTTCATGTTCAGCAAGGGGACACGCAGTCTAGGGGACGTGTCAAGCGTTGGTAGGCCACAGAAATGTGGTGCACACAATGCCACTCCATTCCTGTTGTCCCTAAAGGGGTACCCAGCAAGCAGGTACTGTTCCTAGAGAATGTTCTCTAGGGAATGAGGGATAGGCAGGCAGGCCTCATACATGGACAACCATGAGTTAGAAAGCTTCAGTTTAGCTGGGCGGTGGTGGCACACGCCTTTAGTCCCTGCACTTGGGAGGCAGAGGCAGGCAGATTTCTGCCAGTTCAGTGGCATCCTGGTCTACAGAGCGAGTTCCAGGACAGCCAGGGCTACACAGAGAAACCCTATCTCAAAAAACAAAGTAATGGGGCTGGAGAATGGCTCAGTGGTTAAGAGTACTGGCTGCACTTCCTGAGACCCAGGTTCAATTCCCAGCACCCACATGGCAGCTCACAGCTGTCTGTAACTCCTGTTCCAGGGGATGCTCCTACAAACATATATGCAGGCAAAACACCGATGTACAGAAAATACAAATAAATAAATTATTAAAAAAAAAACAAAGTAAGAAAAGAAAAAGAAAGAAAGAAATTTTCAGTCTGCGGGCCTTGAACTTTTTACCCAGTCCCTTCTAAAGGCCACAGGGGTCAAAAGACCCAGCGAGGCCACCCATGGATGAACCTTCATCATCAGGCTCTTAAAGGGTCAAGAGATGGCACATGCCTTTAATCCTAGCACTTGGGAGGCAGAGGCAGGTGCATCTCTGAGTTCGAGGCCAGCCTGGTCTACAGAGTGAGTTCCAGGACAGCCAGGGCTACACAGAGAAACACTGCCTAGAGAAAACCAAAGAAAAAAAAAAAAAAAAAAAAAGAAAGGAAAAGAAAATGAAAAAAGAAAAAAAGGGGTGGTGGTGGTTAGCAGACACCAGATACAAAGACTAGAATGCCTTAGGGGTCTTCTGGATAGTCCATCATCCCTATCCCACTTGATAGATGAGAAAACTGAGGCCCAAACAAAGGGTAAGACTTGTCCAAGGCTGAGCTCAGTGGTAGAGCCAAGACAGCACCCGGTGCCTTTTGCCTCTCTCATCACGCCCACATACTGCTACCCTGGCATCAGGATCCAAGCTAAGGGACAGTTGAGGCAGCTCCCCTGCCCAGTCTGGGGACAGGCCCAAGTGAGGTTCTGCAGGGTGGAAGATGAGGTGGCTTCCCTTTGCCTTTCAGATGAAGACTTCCGGGGAAGGCGGCAGGAGGTGCCTAAGGTGGAAGAGGCCCTAAGAGAAGGACAGTAAGAGGTAAGGCTTGGGGCCACAGCTTCTAGCAGCAGCTTGGACACCACCCACCATGTGTCCTCCCAAGGATCCAGAGGTGCTGGGCTGTGACATCACAGTAACGCTGATCCTGGCTTACTTTTCTTGTGGTATTGCACATGGTTCCCCCCGCAAACCAATACACACACACACACACACATATAATACACACACATAGACACATATATATACACAGACACACACACACACATATATATATACACATACACACATATACATTTATAGTTTAGTTTTATGTAACCCCACTACCCTTGAATGTACTGGCTATATAGATGAGGCTGGCTTTGAACTTCACTTCTTCCTGTTTCCTGTTTCTACTTCCCAAGTGCTGGGATTACAGACTTGCTGTATCAATTCTGGCTTTTGTACTTTTAAGAATTTGGTTATTTATTCATTTGACAAACAATCACATCTGCCTGAATCATCGTCATCACAGATGCCTTGAACAGGAAAACCAAATCGGCTTTTGACCTCGAATAGTTTGTAGCCCCATTGAAAAGACATTCTGAGACACACAGTGAATGTTAAGAGGATAGTGTAAGAAGCATTGTGGTCATGCACACGCAGAACTGTGTTCGGTCCCCTGCTTAGGTTGGATGGTCAGGGTTCTGGAAATAGCCCCTGGAGTGGCTGCTTCTGTCTGGAGCCTCGGGGCTGGCCTGCCTTTCTATTCTCTCCCTGTGTACTCTCCTGGGGGAGGGGGTGTACATAGGAAACGCCAGCATCTCCTGCAGAAACTAGGCATGCCTGACGCTCAGGTGCCCGGCCCCCCGTGAGGAGCTGCCTGCCCACCCACCTGCTTTGCTTGCCCACCTGCTGTCCTGGTCCCAGTGCTCAGCATCGACTAGGTTTTCTTGAGCCGTTGTGTGGTGGGTCTGGTCCTGTTTCCAACCATGGAGGAACAGATGCCCCTCTTAATGGTAGTAGTGGCAGTGAGATAGCCCAGGCCACAGAGGGTAGAGCCAGCAAGTGCAGGCAACACACTCTTCTCTCTCAGGACTCCTCTTCAGTTCACTGCAAGCTGTTCTCTCCTCCCCGCCTCCTTCCTCCTCGCTTTCCCCATCACTCATGTCTTCATGGCCCTACCTGTTAATCCCATCACCAAGCATCACTGTGGTCCTACCTCTCCCGTGCTTTTCTCGTGGGTCTTCCGAGCACAAGTCTTATGAACGCAGCCTGGTGTCTGAGGCCCGCCACATTCTAGCCTGGGATCACTTTTCTGCCCCTTCAGGCTCTCTTACTTAGTGTAGCCTCCCCTGCCCCACCCCCGCGCGCCCACCTACTAACGGGACACAGAACGGGTGGAGCAGCCTCCCACCTGTAAGGCCTTCACAGGCAGAGCTTCCTCCCCACCCCATTCTCCCCCTCCATGTCTTGCTGCTAGGATCCTGTGGTTGGGCAGTGGGTGTCATGTGTCCGAAGCAGAGTTCCAGGATGATCTAGAACCGCTGGAGAAAGGAGGCGGTGCCTCCCTCATATTCTCCAGGAACCAGGCAGGGAAAGACCAGGGAACCCCTTTGATGAAAACATCACACGGTTTCCCTACTCCCCAGGTGCCAGCAGCTTCGCCTTGCCAGAGCTGTTCTGACCGGGTGGAGGTAACCAGAGAGGAACACCGGTGCCCTCCAGCTGCAGCCGAGACAGACGGTGCTTGCAGACCACGGCCCAGGCTTCTTCGGCCACAGTCCAGCCCAGCCACTGCCACTTTCCACGGGACTTAGAACTTTCAGAGTTGCTTGTGATTGGAGGAAGAACCTGGAGCCTTTGAGACAGCAGCCAGCCACAACCTGGTCTGTAGTCTGTCTCCTCTACCGCGGATGAGCAGAAATTCAGGAACCACCCCTCCCTTTAAAAAAAGAAAGAAAAGAAAAGGAAAGAAAGAGGAAAGGAAAAGAAGAAAGATCCCAGAAAGCACCAAGGTTGCAGTTAAAGAACTGGCAAAATGATCCATCCGGAGCCTCTTTGGGCCTGAAGAGGGCTTTCCTGCTTCTCCTTTCCTGTCGCTCCTGGCATCCCCCGTCCCCTGTGGCCTCTCTTTCTAAAGGCCTCCTCCATCTCAGCCCTGGCCGGAACTGCTGACTCTTGGCCCCGACCCGCACAGAACTCTGGACACTCTGGTCTTGCCGGGTCCAGCTCATAGGGCTGCTTCTATTAAGGGCTGGCTGTTAGCTCCGGCAGCCTCCTCTTGACCCAGCAGGGATGGGGAGGGTGACCCCGGAGCTGGAGGATTCTATCTAAGCCTGGTCTTTAGTTTGGCTGAAGACCTAAGTTGGTTCTTGATTTACATCACAGTGGGGCTCCTCAGGGGCCGGACTGGTCCTGCTGTTTTATAAGGCAGGGAGGTACTGGAGTTTCGGGGTGAGGGTGACCCCAACTGAGAAGGGTGCAGGGCTGAAGTGCAAGTTGCCGAGGCTACCAGCCTGGGGCAGGGGTGGGGGATGGGGGAGCACCTGGGACAGGAACTTACCGGGTGCCTCAAGTGGAGACCCAGAGGTGATCTGAAGAACAGAGGTGATTCTAGGAACGCTTAGCCGGCACCAAGGGGCTGGAGGCCGCAATTGTGCCCCGCTCGTTCCATGATCTGGGAACTCATCGACCTTTAGAGAGAGCTGGGAAGCCTGGGCAGGCGTGGGGCCCTGGTTGAAAGTGGGATCCGATGCTTGGGTGGCGGCGGCGGCGGCGGCGGGGCTGCTAGGGACTGGTAGGAAATGGGAGCGTGGTGGAAATGGGACCGCCATCACCTCCACTCCGGCCGGCGGAGCTTCCCCGGGCTCGGGAGTGCCGTGCACACATCGTGACCAAGTTTGGAAACGTGCGTGCGCGGTGCAGGATGGGGGTGGGGGACCACGCTGGCACCCAGCCAGTCCTGTGACCCCCGGAGAGAAGGACACTTCCCCACCCACCACGAGCCCGGGGCGGCTAGACTGTGCTCCTGACGGGTCTGGACCTTCCCTGCTCCGGGGTCAGGCACAGGAAGGGAAAGCTCTAGGTCTCTGTGTGTCACTGCGTTGTTTTTATTTCCTCCTGTGTGTGGTTTTTAACTTGGAGCCGTTTCATAGGAATTCCGGTAATAAAGACTTGGTGTTCTCTTGGTGCACTGATGTGGCCAGCGGCGTGGGCTGGGCCCTCCCTCCTTTTTCCCTCCGCAGGGGATAGAGTTTGGCCTCTGGAGAAGTGCCAAATCCTTGGGCCACCTGCCTTGCTCCCCCCCCCCACTTCCACCCCCTCCCCACCCCCGCTCGGGTTAACCCTCAGGGTTGTTTCTAGAGTCCATAGGACCCAGGCATCCTACACACCGCCTCAGGAGGTGACACCAGCGGCCCTTGCGACCTGCTGGCTGTGTGTAACACTGCTCCTTTCTTCCTCTTTGCCCTGCAAAAAAACCACTTGCTGATAAGCGAGAAAACAGGGTTGAGAAACCCAGCCTGTGGCGAAAGTGCCACACCATGCCTTCCTACCTTAAACACAAAGCTTCTGGATTAACGGTGACGGCGTCAGCGGCGTCGAGCCGACCAGAGGTTCGAGGTGTGCATCCCAGGGAGGTGCACCTCACACTTGAGAGGGACTGTAACCATCTTCCTCTAGAAGTACCTCAACCTGTGCCCGCAACTCAGCTGGACTCCCCTTCACCTTACACAGGCAGGCTGTACTGAAAGAGGAAACGGATGCCCTCTTCAGAACAGGCCATTCTCAAGGTTAAAATTCTTCCTTGGGTGGAGCCCAAGGCTTCCTTGTGGCATTTAACAGCTCATCTTTCCTGTGCTGGGCTCAGGGTCACCCCGCCAAGGGTGTGCCTCTTCCCCTCAATTTCACTTTTTCACGCTAGGATAAAACAGCTGTCCCCCCGGGCCGTTCCATTAGGGCCCCCCCTTGGCCCTGGCAGATACAGGTAGGCTGGTATGGCATCCCTGAGACAGCTGGCATGCTGCACTAGGTAAACTAAGATTCTCTTCCAGCCTTAGGCCGGTCATTCAGCAATATCCTAGGGCTATGCGTACTGAAGGAAAGCTGTAGAGCCATCGATGAGCTTATAGAAATGCTTGTTCTCAGGGCTAGACAGCTGGCCAAGTGGCTAAGCACACACTCACTGCTCCTGTATAGGAACCAAGTTCAATTCCCAGCACCTCCACCAGGCAACCCCCAGCCGCCTGTAACTCTCGTGCCGGTGGATCTGATGCTCACTTCTGACATCTCTCTCTCACACACATACACATATGTGCGTATTTTAAAATTAAAGCTTAAACAATGAAATGCTCCATTCCAGACCTCCTGCATCAAAAATGAAGGGTGTAACCAAGCAATCTGTGGTCCCTACACACACTGGAGTTTGGGAGCCATAGTGTAAGGCTACTACTCCACTACTCCCCAGATGCTTTTTCAAAATCCCCATGCTTAGTACTCTAGACCAATGAAATCAACAACTGTGGGTTTTGTTTTCAAAGTTGCCCAAGGAGGTTCAATTTTGCAACCAGGTCAGAACCAGGGCTCCAGGCTGTCAGGTGTTTCATGAGTGGAGTTGATCTTGCCCAATAAGCACTTTACAGATAAGGAAATGACATAAATTTAAGTGACATGCCAGGATCACAGAATTGGGGATGAGGTAGTCTAGCAAAGGCGCCCCAGGCTGCCTTGCCTGAAAGCAAGCACCTTGCTGCTTCTGCTACCCCTTTGCTCAAAATGTGCTCCCAGCAGCTACCACCCGGGAGCTTGTTAGGAATGCTACCAAAGTTACAACCGGAAGGCGTTGTAACAAGCCCTGAAGATAACTCTAATCCATACTCAAGTTTGAGGACCACAGTTCTGGACCAGCAAGATGGCTCAGTAAGTAAAGGTACTGGCTGCCAAGTCTGACACTCTGAGTGTGATCCCCAGAACGCACCGTGGAAGAAGAGAACCAACTTCTGAAAGTTCTCTTCTGACCTCCGTGTGCATGCGCACACGCACACGATTATAATAAATAAACATAACTAAAAAAAGAAGACAGCTCCCAAAGCTTCAGAATTATATAACATGTTTTTAACAAGTGACTTGTATGAACACTGTAGCTTAAGAAACTCTAGAACATCAGGTCAGGTCTGAGATTTGCACTTTTAGAATGCACGTGTCCTCTGGTACTTGGTTTGCAGTTGAGCCTGGAAATGCAACTGTAAAATCTCGGGTGATTCTGATATACAAAGTTCTTAGAGCCATGCACCATTTTGTCTAGTACTGTAAGCTGCAAACGAACACTTTCAGTGTAACTTGTAACTACCCCACAGCGGGAGGGCGCGGGTGGGAGAGCCATAACCGGGTTAAAGAGTGTGAAGAACAGACCCAGAAGTGACCAGCAACCCTTTACACCACACTCATCTGCACATGGGAAGCTCCTGGAAGCCACACGGTAATGTTTAAAGATTTCTGTAAAAATGCAGCCAGGCTCTCTGGAGTCTGACCCTGCCGGTGCCCCTGGCCCTTCATACATTTTGGCATCCCTGGGCATTGGCTCTAACTTGCAGGAAGACCATAGGGCTTGATAGACATTGTGCACAGAAGAACAGGCGTGGTTATTATGCTGGAGTCTCAACTTCTGTCTCCTAGTTCTCTGGAAGCACCTGCTTGGGAGTCAGAGAATCTGTCCTGAAGACCAAGAGGGGCAGGTGAGGTGTGGGGTGACAATGGTGATAGCATTTATTAGGGGTTCACTGTGTGCGGGTCACTCTTCTGGGGTGCTTCCTATGTTGTGTTGTACCTAACCCAGGAACGATGACATGAAATCAGTCCCATTACTCGCATTTTTACCCACTGGGAAATGGAGGCACAGGGAGGTACAGAGATGAAGTTGATAGCCATCCTTAGTAAACGCTAGTCCCTGGATTTGAACAAGGCGGCAGTAGAATTCCAGAGTTGATGCCTAAGCTCTAAGCTACCTGTTGGGAGCAGGTGGAGGACAGGTGATAGGATCCAGGATCCCCACATGGACACAACTTGTGAAGAACAGAAAAAGGCCTACCTGCTCAGAAACACCTCCCAGGGATCTGTGACCCAGCATTGTGTCCGGAACTCCCTATTAACATTCTTTATCTGGATTTAAAAACAGTCTCCTAGCGTATGCAGCAAACAGGAAGCCGGCTATTGAGAGAGAAGCACGCAGAGGCCTTATGCCCATCATCACAGCATAGATTCATTTGTTGGATTAGTGGTCTGGGCCAGCAAGGGGGAAGCTGGAACTTTCTGGAGCTGGGGTAGATGAAAAGGGTCTGTGTAGACCTACTGCCCCCAGGTGGTCATTTGCAGAAGTGACAGTCACTGACCACAGAAAGATGAACTATCATTTTTTGCAGGAGGCCTTTGGCCTCAAGCCATACAGATTACAGGGAGTTTGTTTCTATAGCCACATTTGGAGAAATTTGTAAAACAAAGATCGTTTTTAATTTAAAATGTCACTAAAGCTATATAAGCTTCAGGACCCATAAAACAAGGCTGCCCTGCCTGGGAGGACTGCCTACAGGTGTCACTTCTAAATTTTTTTGTTTGTTTGTTTTATTTTGTGTGAGAGAGCATCTCACTATGTAGCCCTGGCTGGCCTGAAATTCACTCTGTAGACCAGGTTGGCCTCAAACTCACAGAGATCTGCCTGTCTCTGCCTCCCAGTGTTTGGATTAAAGACCTAGAAGGTGTCATTTGTAGAAAACGAAGAGTCACTATTCTTTTTATTTGAAAACTCTGTTTATTTATCTTACTGTTATAGTTGGGGATGAAACTCGGGGCCTCACGTATATACAGGCAAGTGCTTTGCCACTGTACTAGACCCCAGCTCTCGGGATCACTAATTAAAGGGGAAAAACAATCATGTCGGGAGGATTGCTCCAGGGACTCCAGTGTGAACAGCTGTGAAGCGTCACCTAAACACTGGGAAGCCTGTCTTGTCCTCCAACGTGTCGCCTGGGGCGCTGGAGCGATGGCTCAGTGGTTAAGGGCACTGGCTGCTCTTCCAGAGGTCTTGCGTTCAATTCCCAGCAACCACATGGTGACTCACAACCATCTATGATAGGATATGATGCCCTCTTCTGGCGTGCAGGTAATACATGCAGAGCACTCATACATAAAATGCAAATAAAGTGTGGCCTGGGTGCAGAACTCACAAAGCTAGAACCAAGAACATCCACTCAAACTTGCGATGTCAACTTGAGAAAGTTGTTTACCCTATTTGCAGACCCGCAGCCTGGCTGTCAATCAGCCCAGAAGCTTGTTAGAAACACAGTTCAGGGCCCCACTCCAAACCAACCTAATCAGAATCTGCCTTGCTCGAACTCCCTAGGAACTCGCCCCCAGGTTCACAAACCCTGAAATACCTGCCCTGAAGGGGTCTCATCCTCCGTGATCCATGCAACCCCTCAGAATTATTCTAATCAGCATAAACTCCAACAGGCAGCTAGCTGCTCAGGCTCCGTTCACTCTCGTTTCCTTGGCTGTGGAAAGGAGCCAAGTCCCACAGACCTCCAGGGCAGGTATGGGCACAAAGTGTTGATCTCTCCTTTGTCTGCACTGGCGCCTCCTTCAGGGCAGCCACCTGTTATCGCAGGGAAGCTGGGCAGCTTGTAACAATGTCTTGTGAATTGTTAGATGTGATTTAACGGTGGAGTCCTCGGAAATCATCGTCAGTTATGTTTACCGCACAAGGGCTCTGCAGTCCTAACACACCGTCCTAACACACCCGACGCTTCACAACAAGGCTCCTTCCGCCCCACCCCACACCCCTGAGACAGAGTCTCACTGAGTAGCCCAGACTAGCCTGAACTTGAGGCCCCTCCTGCCTCCACCTCCCAAGTGCTGAGATTACATGTGTGCGCCACCCCTTCCAGAAAAGACTTTCTGTTGGGTCTTATGGTTAGCTCCATTTTACGGAAGACAGTTGAAGCCCCAGAGGATTATAAAAAGCCCCACTGAGGCAGGGGACAGCCAGAGGTCAGTAAAAATGACAGTACACACTCAATGCACGGTGGGCTCGGATGACATGTTCACACAGTATGTCTTGCAAAGGCCTCAAAGGGAAGCTAGACTCGGGTGGCAGGATCAGATGTGTGCAGGCAGTCATAAGTGGCCCGTGGTCACTA